GATCCCTGGATGTTCTCTGAAAGAAGTATAAGTCAACTATACAGCTGGAAAGCAACTGCAAAAAGTAATTGCCTGCAACTGTACACGCGACAGTGCAGCAGTCACTTCCCATTGGGAAGAGGCGTGTACCAACCATGAACTGACATCATCCTTGGGATGTCTTTGGTAAGTATAACAACATGGTGCAAGGCACAAGATACTCATTTGAGCATTTAGTGATATTCTCTCAAGCATTAAGGAGTTGATCCAGTATTCAAGTCACAGTGCATCAAGAACAAGAAGACAACTCCACTAAGGATCAGTTCCACAATGAGTCTATGTGTATCCGTAGTTGAGTTGTAATCTTGTTATTTGTTCTTCATTGTAACTCATATCCTGCTTTCTTAGAAGCTGTGTTTCAGGAAACCCAAAATCATAAACCTTCTGAGTTTATGTTGTAACTAGAGTTAGTCATAAGTTAAAGTCTTTGTAACTAGTGTGTGACAAAGTGGCTTGTGGTAAGTGTATCACAAGTTAGTGAGTTGAAATCTTTGTAATAGAGTCATTACAAAGTGGCTTGTAATAGTGTGATTGCAAGTTAGTGAAATTGAAAGCCTACAAGTGTAGGTCGTGGTTTTTGTCCCCTTGAGTGGGATTTTTCCACGTAAAAATCTCGTGTCTCATTTTCTTACTGCTTCATTAGTATTCTCAGTAGAAACTTATAGAGGATCAAGTACTCTATAGTTTGGTGGATCCATATAAACTATCAATACCTGGATCAACTCTTTAATGCTTGAGAGAATTGATCAACTCTCAGAAAAACCTGTAAACCTGATTCTCTTCCAGTTAAATCAACTCAGGAACCTCTTGTTTATCCTAAGCCCTTAGAATCCATTCCACCTAGTGAGATCCCTGTTGATGAAGATGATATGGTTCTCAGCGTGCGGTTTAAGATGCGCAAACCAATAGAGACTCCTGAATCCTCTTCCGAACGACTCACTACCAGGTTGCAGCAGAAAGAGACTTTCGAGTCTGCCTTGCAGAAAAGTAAGAGGAATGTTAAGAAAAAGAAGAAGAAGTTGATGAAACAGGGGGAATTTGTGTCTGACAAAAGCATTCTAGTGGTTGAGGTTAATGAAGATGTTGTAGAGGAACACAGTTCCTTAGTAAAACGATCTAGAAAAATCTAGAAGTCTGTGGTTGGAGCTTCCGGTGAAGCTATTGAAAAACAAAGTGGAACATCCATGAAGGGTAGCAGTAAGTCTAAGAAGGTTGTAGTTGAGCAAGCTATGTCTGAAGGAGATATTGTTGGGGTTGTAAATCGGAAAGGGAAGTTTGTTGAGGAATCTAGAAAACGAAAACGGGAAACTGTAGGGGCACCTTGTTCTATGAAGACCATACCTAGTGACAGTGGTCGTTGGCAGAAGAGATTGAGAACTCAGAAAGTCTTGTGGGGTCGTATGTTTGATCCGGCAATCTCAAAGATGGCAGGTAGGAGGCAAGTTCTGGAGATGGTGAAATTTTAGCAATAGGAGCATTTGTTCCAAGAGGATGTGCCTAAGGTGTACAAAGATGCGGTACAAAATTTCTACGCATCTCTCTTCACTGTTGAGGGGGATCACATCTGTTGCTAGTAAATGGAGTAGACATTGTGCTTGACGCTTCAGCATTGGGGAAAGTTCTCCAAATTCCATGTGAAGGGATGTCCTCAGTCAAGGGTGCCTGTGGTGCTAACTTTAGGAGAGCTATCATGAAAGAGCAAGTTGTTCAGTAAGAGGAACGGGTGCATAAGAAGGCACTACATCCTGAGTATCAGCTTCTCTTTGAGCTGGTCAATAAAGTGTTTTTACCTCGTACTGAGAGGCGGTCTATCGCTTTAAAGTCTGATCTGGTATTAATGAAGGCTCTTGATGAGTTTGTCCTGATCAATTTGCCAGCAATCATAATAGAACATATGCAAAAGGTGGCAAACTTTAAATGTGGCAATCACAGGCTTCCATATGGTTTTCTCCTCACTCGAGTGTTTAAATTCTACAAGGTTCCTTTGGCTAATCCCAAAGTGGGCACACGCAAGCAAACCTTCTCCAAAACCACTCTAGAAGAATGTGAGTGCATAGAAAAGGTTGGTGGAAGCACTTCGACTATTTCTCAGCTAATCAATGCTCAAAATGCTACTTCCGAAGAGATCAGGAGGTTGAGGGCTCAGAATGCCATACTGGAAACTCATCTTAGTCAAGCTGTTAGGGGACCTGGTTCTGTTAATTCCACAAATGAAGAAGTTGCCCGCGTGACAAAGGAAAATGATGAGCTTCGCGCAAAACTGCTTGAAGAGCAGCTGTCTGCAAATGCTCGTATAGACCTGGTTTTCAAAACCCTTGTTGTCTCTTTCTCCAAGTCTCCCTCTTCTAGTGCCCCTTAGAAACCTCTCAATGCCTAGTTGTCTTCTGTTATGATGTTTTGTGGCTGTTGTTTCTTTTTTTGTTGATGGCATGTTGGATTTCACCGTTACTGCTCCTGTTTGCTCAGTCCATTGTTCATATCAATGAAACAGCTCTTCTTTTTGTTTGTACAATGTTGTTTTCCTTTGGTTTCTCTTTTCTGTCATGTTGTGTGCATATATGTGGCATGAATTGGCTGTGTTAGACTTCTTTATGTTGTTTGCCTGTTTGTGTATTTTTAATGATGCCAAAAGGGGTAAGTATAGTATAAATGCATAAATACAATGGAACTTGTTTGAAATTGGGGATCTGACTAAGGGGGAATCAAAGTTAGGGGGAACTTGTGAAGTTCCTGTTACTTCATCTGGTTATTTCTGCTCTAAATAAATGATATCAATGCCTAAATTTGTCATCAACAAAAAGGGGAAAATTGATGGGTTTTCAATGCATTTACCTTATATTTTGATGATCTAACAAATTTACTATCAAGACCCAGACAGGAAACCTGACACACTTGGTACACATTTCAAATGAACAAAGTCCAGCCTGAACTCCAGCTAATGTGAACTGCTGCAAATAAAGAGAAAGAGGAACAAGATAGGGACCTGATCCCTGGATGTTCTCTGACAGAAGTATAAGTCAACTATACAGCTGAAAAGCAACTGCAGAAAATACCTGCCTGCAATTGTACACGCTACACTGCAGCAGATAGTGCAGCAGTCACTTCCCATTAGGAAGAGGCGTGTACCAACCATGAACTGACATCATCCTTGGGATGTCTTTGGTAAGTATAACAAATATGGTGCAAGGCACAAGATACTCACTTAAGCATTTAGTGATATTCTCTCAAGCATTAAAGAGTTGATCCAGCATTGAAGTCACAGTGCGTCAATAACAAGAAGACAACTCCACTAAGGATCAGTTCCCCCATGAGTTTATGTGTATCCGTAGTTGAATTGTAATCTTGTTATTTGTTCTTCATTGTAACTCCTATCCTGCTTTCTTAGAAGCTGTGTTTTAGGAAACCCAAAATCGTAAACCTTTTGAGTTTATGTTGTGACTAGAGTTAGTCATAAGTTAAAGTCTTTGTAACTAGTGTATGACAAAGTGGCTTGTGGTAAGTGTATCACAAGTTAGTGAGTTGAAGTTTTTGTAATAGAGTCATTACAAAGTGGCTTGTAATAGTGTGATTGCAAGTTAGTGAAGTTGAAAGCCTACAAGTGTAGGTCGTGGTTTTTGTCCCCTTGAGTAAGATTTTTCCACGTAAAAATCTCGTGTCGCATTTACTTACTGCTTCATTAGTATTCTCAGTGGAAACTTATAGAGGACCAGGTACTCTATAGTGTGGTGGATCCATATAAACTATCAACTACCCTTTTAACCGACTAATTACAACTTTCTCTAATTACAAAGTTGACCCCTACAATTTATCCTATATCACAACAGTTGTCAAGTCTTTAAATCATGTGATTCCCCTTAGCAATTCCAACTGCCCTTTGTTTTATAATGCTGATTTTTATTTTCTGTTGAAAAAGATGAAGGGAGAAGTGGATTCTTTTAATAGCTTCAATCCTTGAAATATTCGACTTTGGTTTAGTTCATATCTTGAGAAATAGCGGTTGCATTTGTGCATTTGTAAGTTATTATACATAAGATTAGTGGAAAACAATTGTTAGGGTAGTTTAGTTGGTTAGCTACTCGAACTTTCACCTTGTTGGTGAGGGTTCGATTTCCCACCTTGTTATAAAATGACTTTTATTGTTGCTACCTCTTTGGTAAGTCCACTACTTAGAGTTCTCATGTCCGTAGGGATGTGGACTGTCTATCACCTTATATGGTATTGGGCAATTCCCGCCTCATAAGCTACGTAGTACTTGAGGTTCGAGTAGTCTTATAGAAGCTTTTTAGAATTTAAAATATGCACTACCAAAAATCAGGTGATTTCCGACCGAAATCGGTCGGAAATTGATAATTTCCGATCAAATTTCGACCGTTTTTAATTGGACGGAAAAAAAATGGTCGCAAATGCAGACCGACCGCAATTGGTCGCAAATTTCCGATCGAAATCGGTCGGAAAATATTGGTCGAAAATTTCCGACCAAAATCGGTCGATAAAATCCAATGCGCTGACTGGCAATCAAACTCTATTTTCCGACCGAAATCAGTCGGAAAATATTATTATTTAGTTATTTTTTATTTTAGTTTTCCGACCGAATTCGGTCGAAATTTTAAAAAAATAATAATATTATTTCATTAAATAATTATTTGTAAATTGTTAATTTATTTAAAAAAATTCGGTCGGAAATTTCAATAATCTGGGGAATTTATTTGAAATTTCCGACCGAATTCGGTCGGAAATTACGAATTTCTGGGCAAAAAAATAATAATTTCCGACCGAATGGGTAAAAACTGGGCAGAAAAAGGCTCTTTTTAAGCTACACTCCCTGCCAATTTAAACCAACATACATCCTATAATGGCAGCTTACATTGATGCCATTCAACCATGAAAACTCAATAAAATAACTAATAGCCACCAACAACAACAATTAACCAATAACTAATAACCACAACCACAACAACTAATAACCACAACAACAACTACTAAAGTGTTCAATAACAATATAATCATCATTCAAATAACCAACAACAAAATATTGACAAGTTCACAACTTTGTTTAACAATACACAACATTCAATGAATTTTTTATGTAGCACCATCTTCATGTAATGTCCTAGAACCTTCATCGCCGGCAGGTGGGGAAGGAGGAGGAGACCGGGGAATGGGGAAAGCACCACAAGCAAGAAGATTGGCCAGCTGACCTTGAAGGAGATCAAATTGTTTGTCCCTCCTTTCTAGATGACCTTGAAGGGTATCAAAATTCTTCTTTTCTCTAGCCTTGGTCTCTTCAAGCTCTGCTGTCAGCTTTGCGATCTTCTCTTCCATGGACGATATAGCCGAACTATCAATCGTCTCGCCTTGGGCGGAAGTCCCTATACCTTGCAATCCAGCCCTGTAGCGCCGAAACGATTTATCTGAAAGGCCATATGCTATCCCCTTTTTAGGACCACCGACAGTACTCAACCATATCCTCTTCTCTTCTTCGTCTGAAATGGGCGGTCGCTCGCCTTGCTCATTTAGTGGCAAGCTCTGAGTGTACTCCTCCAAATTGATCTTGTAGCGACCCTTTATTTAGAAGATAGAAAATTACTAACTATATAATATTAGAAACATTTATAGTAGTTATGAAACTTACATGTGTAGTCTCTGCCCGGTCCTCGACCCATCTAGTTGGATCTACCGGTGCCTTCTTCCGGATGTGAGTCCCCATGAAGAACTCATCATGACTCATCTTCCTCCCCAATTTTCTTTCCTACAAATATAATAAACATGTTAACGAAAACTATAGCAATACACGTATTTTGTTGTAAAAGCAGAGTGCAATTTAAGAGATAGGAATTTTAAGTAACTAGATTCTTGAGAGAAACATAGAATAAAAAATACAACATGAAGCTGGGATTATATGGAGTCCACTTGAGCTTCACTGAAAAAAACTTTGGTTTTTGATAGCCTAGAGCGGTTAGTCTATATAATGTTTGGCCATACAACTCCAAGGTTGTGTTCTAGTTCCAATATTCTCTAATTAGTTTGTGTTGTATGTTAACCAGTACTATGTTCTTTCCCCTTCTAAAATTGTGGTCTTCATAATTTTCTTCAAGATTTTAGATTTTTGTGTTGTTGAATACAAATTCCTATCAACATGAATTTGCTCATTTAAAATAAACAATATATTAAAATATGATTCTTCAACAAATTTGGAACCAAGGCTTCTCAAATTGAAAGAGAGATTTTTCATGAACATCAGCGCTTATAAACATGAAAAATACATTAAATAGAAATCTAATAATAGATAAAGCAACATCTTAAACCTAATTAAAACAAATTTCATGCTTTTTAGTGTACTGTCAAGAAACCAACACTTACCAGTTTGTGTTAAGCAACAATTCAAATGAGGAGTGTGTTATATAGTGCCAGCCCAAACAACAAATATTATTATAACCTAAGTTTCTTTGCTGGTAGAAGATAAAACTTATATGTTATTGTACTGTATTTGTTTGGCAATATATATATTTCTCTAAGCAAGGAAACAGAACAAAAACAACCTCATTTAATATAAATATGGTAGTCACATAATTCTGCAGTTAATATATAATTATGTAGTTAATAAAAACAACCTCATTTAATATAAATATTGTATGTTACGTGTGTATTTTTGAAATGCCAACTTGCCGTGATATTCCAAAGTTTTGGGAGATATATAAATATAGTTCTATAAAAATAGACTGAAATATTTTAAGAAATTACCAGATGTCTCCTTGTATCCCCCATGCTCCTTGAACCCAGACAGTGCAAGGATCCACCCTTCTCAGATGCTCGGGCCTTCTTTCCCTGTTCACTCTACTTCTTAAATTTGTCGGTGGTCCAATACTTCTCCAGATCCACCCATATATGCGGTAGAACCCATGAAGGCCTCTTTTTAACCCTTCGAACGGTGCTGAAGGAATCAGAGAGTCTCCTACGACATTTGTACTCCCAATTTTTACAAATTTCACGGTTATACTGGTCCTCCCAGGAACACTTAGTCTGCAAATAAAGTAAGTAATGTTAGATGAAAATATTGTTAATATAACACTTAACAATTTGTTTATTTGACAGAATACAGTACTACTAAACTGCATATCCATTCAATGAAAATTCTATCCAAATTACACTATCAGACCTTATTTTATTACTTGAAAAAAGAAAATAATTTTCAGCAAAACTCCTGCAGTTTAAAGAGGAGTAAAAGCACAAACATGTACATCAATCTACAATCAATTAATATTTAAAAAAAGAACCTAAGTAATTAACCCCCAGCATAACTAAATAACCATCAAAAGAAACACAATCGTTGCTAAAAAACAGCGTATTTGTTTGCAATGCTCTAACTCTATCAATCAATTAAGACCTTATAGTCCTCATCATAACACTCAACTGTAAGTGGTCAAGCATATTTTCCAAGTTGGGTAAATCAGTTAGCTAATACTCTTGTGCAAGTTCTTAAGCATATTTCTTATGTGGGAAACAGTGAGACGGAACATACATAAACAATGGATCAAAATTTTATTTCAAATTACAGTTCCTCCTTCTCTCAAATGATTATTCTTTCTCTACTCAAGTCAATACTAAGTCATACGTTCAAGAATCAAGACTTTATTGCAATTAGCCAATTACCCAAACTTTTCAACCCGTAATATATGTTCTCGTAACCACACAAGAAATTATATATACAACAAAAGCCACAAAAAAAGGACCACACTTGTTACAATAGGTTATCTAAAGTATTTGTCGATCCAATTCACTTAGAGCTGATAGATACACATGCATGAATATAGAGGCATCAATACTAAAACATGAACACAAATATAGATACAATCAGCTCAAGCACTTTTAAGACTAACAAGAGAAGCAACTTAAATAATCCAATTTTTGTTTTAAAGGTAGAGATATCAAGAGCATATCTTTAACACTTCACAGTCCACTATAAGGAACAAAGTAATAAAAAAATTTATCTCTGGTTCACATGGTTCAAGAATGTCAATTACAACCAGATTCTAATATATGAATTATATTATATATATTTTAAGGCGCGCTAAAGTTAACTGATGAAAAAATTGGGATCTTGAGTGCTAAGGAGATTCTTTTTCTATTCAGCATATTCTTTAGTAGTATCCCACATATCATCCTAGTAAGTCAAATTACAGTTCCTCCTTCTCTCAAATGATTATTCTTTCTCTACTCAAGTTAATACTAACTCATACGCTCAAGCCAATTACCCAAACTTTTCAACCCGTTATATATGTCCTTGTAACCACATAAGAAATTATCTACTCAACAAATGCCACAAAAAAAAAAGGACCACACTTGTTACCAATTAAAAACAAAAAGAGAAACAAAAAATCAAAAACAAAATTAGAGTGATCTAAGGAGAGAAATTAAGAAGCTAACTTTTAAAGTATCTACAATTCAGAAGAGAACAATATAAATATAATGTGTAATTATCAGAAAGGAAAATAAACTAAAATCACATTTAATTGAATCAAAAATTAAGGGGAAAAAATGAAAAATGCATAAGCTGAAACATCATAATAATTCGATTCAATGAAAGATCCACTCTTACTTTGAATTTAGCTCCAAATGCCTGACAATGGAATTCCTTTTAGGTAAAATCTGTGTAATAGGAGTCTCAAGATCCTAAGAAGGATCATCAAATTCTCTTCTTTATAGAGAAAGAAATCACATCATTCATAAAGATCATCCAAATACAACGGCATAGAGAATAGTCCCCGACTTCTTCCAAAATTTCATGATACGGTTACACCTTTCATCTCTGAGTCCTTTAACAACCACGACTTGACAGAAAGAGGGGGGTGAGAGCTGAAAGATGATTAGATCTAACAGTAGTAGTGAGGGTTTTGGGAGAGCAGAAGAAGGAATTTGGGAAAATAAATTTTTTGCATCGGCTATGGTTTTGGGAAAAAGGGAAAGGGATTTGGAAAAACGAGGGAAACTGTTATAAAATAAAGACTATAAAGTAAAGACAAGTACAAGAGAAACTGATATATTATTCGAATTTAAACTGATGTACATAATGAACTGAAATCTCTTCTAT